CTGTTCTGCCTGTATCGTTCTGTTCTGTCTTTGTTTTGTTGCAGTTTTTGCACACTTGCACTTTATGTAATCCTGTATTGATTGTCTGTTTATATGTAGCACCATGGTCTTGAAGGAACGCTGTCTCGCTTCACCGTGTACTGTACCACTGCACAGGGTTGGAACGACAGTAAAGCCACTTGACTTGACTCTTGTCAGCTTTGGGCCTCCGTACCACAGAAAAATGATCTGACAGTGGTTTGTGTGTCTGTTGTGGTTCAGAAATGAACAATTTTTGGACTCTGCATGACTCACTTCTGTTCCAACCAATCAGAGGCCGGACTCACTGCCGCCCCACACGTTCGTGCCTGATGAAGACTGACCTCGACTCTCTGACCTCGTCCAATCAGCTGTGACAGAGTCATCAGCTCATCCCACTAAAGTAAAAAACCCGCAGCAGGTCTGTTTCCTCCCTCTGGGACGGTTTCCCTCTTCCGGCCGAGCCGCTGCTGCTTCCCAACAGGTGTTTAAATGCTGTTGGGACGAGCTTAAGACGGAAACCCAAACAGGAATGGGGAGGACACGAACTTGTCAACGCTCCCTCTGACCCCATGAACCATTTCATGATTCTTCTTCACAGCTCCTCAGTTTCCAAACAGTTTGTACGTCCAGTCCGCCGGCTTCATCAAACCCGTCGGGCCTTTTCCCTTCATGTTAAATTTCTTGCATTTTAAACTAAACCTGAGCTGACATGATATTCCTTATGAACAAGAACATGCTGAACTCCTCCTCCCTCAATCAGTGGGATCATTTGTCCCAAATCTGAAGCTCTTCCCAGGAAAGATGCTGATCGCTGCATGGAGTTTAGAAGATTTCCAAAATCATCAAAATGTTAATTAGCTGATGAAAAAGACTTTTTCTGCAGCAGAGATGTTATCAGGGAGGCTGAGACGCTCAGAGAATCCCGAACAGAAACCTGTAATCTGGTAACGGCAAAAATGGCGAGACATGTTCTCGCTCGCTGCCACCAAACACCCAATCATCTGCTGAACAGGGAAATGTAGGAACCAATCACGTCTGCACAACAGAGACCGAGGACAGTTTGAGAGGATGTCAGACGAATGGACTTGTTATGGTGGTAAAGACGGAAGGCCGGAATACTCAGCGTTTGTTTACTGCAGCTGTGGAGGGAGGAGCCAGAGACAGCGAAGTCATAATGAAACCGGAAAACCTGCAGGAAAGCTTCTGTGTGGCAGAGACGCGTTTAATCAGATTTGTTCATGTAGAAAAACACACAGACACACAGATAAAGACTCAGAAACACACACGACACAGACACACGCTGTGATGGTGTTTAACTCTTGCCTCCAGTTTGTTGCTTTGGGTTCAGTAATGCTGGAATGGAGGGAGACTCTCAGCTGAGCTCAGACTGAACGTTACAGGCAGCACTGCTGGCTGTGAAACTGTTTCTGCTGAGTCAGCTGATCTTCTGCTGCTGGTTCTTCCATTAAGGCAGATTTTCTCCTCTGGCAGCTGCAGAAGCCATCAGAGAGCAGGGATCAGGGTAACCTGGGAGTTAACGAGGATAACAGAGCTGTGAGGCCATCAGCGGCTCTGTGGCAAAGTTCGTTTGTACCAGCTTAGTTTTAAAAAGACGCAAACACGAGTTCTCGAAAGATGACTTTCTGTCCTTATGCTACACTTCCAGTGTTTGTGGTTAGCTGAGCTGCAGCTGTGATGGAGAAAAAGCTGTTAGCAGGGTTCCTCTGATTAAACACGCCGTCAGCGATGATTCACAGCTGGATCTGCTGGTGATCTTAAAAGCCTCACACTGAAATCAAATGACGTTCACACGGCTCTGACTTGATCGTTATCTGAGTCTTCCTACTTCATAGGAAGCAAGAGCCACGTGAACCAGAAAGATCCTCACAGGTCTAATTTATATTTAAGGAGCTTCAATGATATTAACAATAACAGTTTAAGTTGCTGTGGGAACTTAAGGTTCTACCCTTTTCTTTATTTTCTGAAAGTTTAGACTTCACACAGTTTTTTTTCTTTTACAAGTTAAATTGTGGGATGTTACAGAAGGGATATAAGACCCACCCACCTGCGGTTTTTAATGGGCAGCCAATCAGAAGAAAGTTGGCCTCATATATTTGAAATCATCTTCAGTCTTCATGGGTTTGTTGGAGAAACCAGAAACCTTCTCGCTGCTTTTGGGAGTTTATTGTCTGAACTTTGTGGAGCTTTGTTCCTCGTTTCCCCCTGGTTTCACTCGTCCTGCCAGAAGGTTCAACTTAACGTTTAAAACGTTTACACTGAAGTGTACAGATAACAGATACAGTTCAGTTTGTGGACTCAGATCTGTGAGTGAAATGTTTGGTATTCCTGATGAGGATCAGAGGCGTGTTTGGGACTCGGGGCTCTGATGTGGTTCAGGACTGAGAGCAGAAGGTGGAGCTGAGTCAGGCACAGAGGGGGTAAACAGACGGGGGCAGTAAAACTAAAAGTCCTGGAAACTTCTCAGCACACTTCCTGTCTGCTCTCTCTCTCTGGCTGTAGAACGTCTGTGCTCGCCTTGTTTTCCTTATCTCAGTTTTCCCCCTCTGCTCCCCTCAGATGCCAGATGTGTCAGGGTGACTGACAGCACGCGGTGGATGTTTGTGTTGTTTGTGTCACAGCATTCCTGTGAGCGTGTGCAGAAGGTGAAGAAGACAAGTATGGAGCTCCTGCAGCTGCAGGTAGGTGCCAGCTCCCTCATCTCCAACCGGCTCGTGCAGATTAAAGGATTTTCCTTCGTTATTCTCTCACCCTTTTCTCCTTTTGGCTTCCTCCTCCTCCTCCTTTAAAAAAAGAAAAACCTCACACAGCGAGTCATTGGGCTTTGCAGGCTCAGGATGAAACTTTGTCAGCTGTGTTGGTGCAGCAGGAAGCAGCGATGAAGACAGATATTCACCTGAAGCGCGACTCAGTTCAGCTCTTTAATGCCTATAAGTGATGACACGTTTTGTTGGCGAAGCTGAGCTGGTGGCAGGAAGTGACAGTACCTTTGTGTCCTTTTATGTAAAAACCCGGCATCCTTACAAAACATGTAAGTCTCTGTACGTCTACTTTTTGGTCATTACTGATTTCTGTGAATGGTGCCGCCGATCAAGCGTTTGGGTTTTTTTCTGCCCACCAAAGAGGTGTTGATGAAAATCACCAGGACTGCGATTAAACATGATTTTGACCAGTAATTTTTAATTTATGCAGGCTTAACATTCCAAAATAAGCAACCGTTAACTAAAGTAAGAGAGATACACCCCGTCCAGTACAGTTTAACGTCCAGGTGTCTCTGAGAATGGGATTCGGGCAAATCTAAACACGTCAACTCAGAGAAGATGGAGGATGAGGGTTGAACTGTTCGAACGTCAGCCAGACAGCGTCTGAGAGGATCCATCCGTCCATCTGCTGCAGCGTGATTTGGGTCAATTGCGACAAGTACCAATGAGCCGTGTGTAGACTGCTGACCGGTGTCGTGCCAAAAAGTGATTAGCATTATTTAAATGTGTTTGAACTGTTATAAATAACAATAATAATGGATCCCTCACGAATGATATCCAGTCATCTTGAACCACATTCCTGTCATAAGGTAGAAGCTGCAATCAGTGGCAGTGACTTTTATACATCCTTTATCCTATATCCAGTTAAAAAATCACAGTGGCATTAAAAATGCTCTAAAAGGCTCAAACAGAACAAACACGGCCCAGAGGTCCAGCTCAGGTGAAGCCTAGCAGACAGCACGCAGGTACAGCCACCTGTGTCCACATCCACCTGTCAGTCAAAGAGGCCACGCCTCTAATAATCCTAATTTAAGCCTTAGTACAATTTAAACAGGTAACTTATAAAACCAGGCTGTTAAACGTGTTCGTTTCTGCTCTAATGTATTACATGGGAGTCTATGGGGACTGACTCACTGCTGATCTGCTGGACGTCAGAGGGACTGCAGTTCGTTGTAGCTTCTGTTTCCTTCCAACCTCAAACTAATGAACCCACGCTCATCTGGCTGGATGGGAAGCGGCACGCCAGCTCTCTGCTTTGTTCCTGAAAACACCCCATCACCTCCTCACCTCCTCCTTCCTTCTCCCCCTCCCCCGGCCCGTCCAGCACCTCTGCGGGGTCATGCAGATTAACCTGTCGTTTCCTGCAGACAGTTTTGGTTGGGAGTGAAATGGAGGGTGAAGCAGTTTCCGGCTGGGAGTGTGGGGCAGTGGGGGAAGAAGCTGGGCTGGCCAGCTGCATGCTGGGAGTGTTTTTTTGTTTTTGTCTGAAGGATTTAGAGGACTTTTTATGTGGCAAAGGGGCAGTTGCAGGGATTCAGAGGGAACAGTGGAGGAGGGTTGGAGCTGCTCTGGAGTATCTGCTGTAAGTATTCTGGTCTGCTGGGTTTAGTGTTTGTGTTGGAAGAGCTCAGAGTCAGGATTACATCTGTCTCTGTTGGAGTCAGACATTATTAAATGTGCTTTAGTTTGATCTGTGTTGAGCCGGTTTCATGCAGAAAACTGACCTGTGGAGGACACACAAAGAAAACCACAGAAGAAGAAAGACTCTGTTGTTCTACAGCAGCTCCCTGCTTCTTTGTGTGCAGTATTTCCTGCAGGAGAGGCTGGAGTCTTCGGTTTCATAGACAGGTGGTGTTCAAAGCGCACCCACAGCACACTGAAGGGCAAACCAAAATGTAAATGCACACCTGTATTTATACCTGCCTGAAATAAGCTCAGGGTCGGCTGACATGTTGTCGGTGCTTCTGTGGCATGTTGTGTCAGATGAAGACACTTTGACAGCTCATTTGCATGACAGCTGCAGTTATTTAAGACTGACAGAGTTTACAGTGTAAACTGTAAATGAGCACAATACAGTATCAGGCAGCGCTCCTGCACACTGTCTGGCTCCGTGCTCCCTTATTGGATATGGTTCATATGATTTCCTCTGTAAATGGTCCAATGTTAGCATTAGTCAACCAGTTCTAAAATATGATTCGCTCTGTTCCATCATCCATTATTTTGTTTTTAGGGTCTGGAAATGAGTGTGTACAAATGACTAATACAGTAAATTTAACATGAGCTTTTTGAACAGTTAAACTGCAGTAAGTGTATAAAAGCCTATAAAATAGAATAACATCTTTGTCCATCCTCTTCCTCTTGTCCTTATCAGGGTTGTGGGAGGGCTGGAGCTTATCCAAGCTACCGTAGGGCGAGAGGCGGGGTACACCTGGACAGGTCATCAGCCTGTTGCAGGGTTAACACCGAGAGACAACTGGTCACACTCACATTTGGAGCACATTTGA